GTTTGTATTGTGGTGAAATTGCCTGCCCTGGTGTTTTGCAGTTTGGGCTTATTCTCGATAGAATACAAACAGGATTGGAAGGAAAGAATCGAATAATTTTACATTTGCGGCTATTCTCAGGGAGCTAAATGGTCAAAAGAGCAAGTTCGTGAGCGCCTCTTCACTACTTGCAGAATTAATCAAGCTATCTCCAGCCCAAGGATTGCCAACTCATAAGGTATTGTTTTTAGTTCAGAAAACGAAAAAAAAAAAAAATTAATAAATAAATAGTGTACTCCACCTCTGAGGCGGAGCCTGTAGGGGGGAGCACGCATGAGTAGAGAATAGGGAGACTGGCGACAGAAGAAACGAACTAAGACAGGACCAACGAACTAAGACAGGACCAACGAACTAAGACAGGACCAACGAACGTCGTACAGGACGAATAACAGGCCTACGCAATGACGTTCAGTTAAATTATAATATATATTATTTTTTTTTTATCTCTTTTTCTTTTTATTGTCATGCGGCTCGGCGGGCAGAGAAAAAAAGGGCAAGCTAGGATCCATGACATAAAAATGGCGCCCAATGAAAATGAAAATCTTACTGTATTAATTAATTTAATTTAATTAATTTAATTTCATTTTCATATTAATTTAATTTCAATTTTCAACGTTGGTCGCTTATAATCCCCGCGACAGCCTTCTACATTATTTACAGAAAATCGTTGCATGCTCAAAGTTTTTGGGGGCGAGTTGTTCTTTAATTGTTCTTAACTTCGAGAGGTCAGTTCGGATGCCTTCTGTTTTAATGAGATTTTCTAAATATATTATCTCTGGTGGAAATTGAATTGGGAGAATATTTTAATGACGTTGCTATAATGGTTTTTCAATATGAATATAATTATATCGTCGACATAAAAAATGCTTTGGAATCTTGTCTACCTAGAAGTAAAGGGAGCATTCTCTGGAAAAGGAATGCAACTGTGCTTTGACAGGATTGTTAAGTTCTCGCAGGAGAAAGAGTTGAATAGACGGAGATGTGTTACGCCATTTTTGTCAGTTTTTGAGGTTGGTCTAAACACTCGCTACACGAAAGGGAAGAGGACGATTGAAAAATAGATTGTTGGATTTTTGTTACGAATAAAAGAAAAAAAAGTTCAGGTTTAAGGATCAGAAAAAGTTTTGGTTAAAACAAACGAACATTGAAAATTTGTTGGTTTTGATATACGTCAGGAATAGAAAGTCATTAATTTAAAAGTAGAGAGGAAACAAAATTATAAGAATAAAGAAATAATTCATAAGTAAACATTTATAAACTCAGCTTAAAAAAAATTGAAAAATTTGTAAAGAAACTTTATCCTTTTTTTTGTTGCTGTATGTGAGAAAGATACAAAAAGATAATATTAATCATAAAAAGTCAGGTTTACAAAAAGCACTGCAAAAAGGACGCAAACTGTAAATGAGACCCTAAATAAAGGCCTTGAAAACAGAAAGTATTATATAGTATATAATTGACGCCAAGTAGTTGCAAAGGAAAGTGTACGATTTAAACTAGGCCGACCAGCGGGTTCGTTATTCAGCCGATACTGTCAAAGTAAAAATGTGAAATGGGAGCTCGTTGCTGATAGATAATTACCCTTACTAAATCAACTTTATTTTTGTGTTTGTACCGCCTTCGAAGGTTTTTTTTATTGACGTGTTCTATAAGCACGAAGAATCTTAGACTTTATTTTTTTTTGTTCTCTTAAATAAGTATTGCGCTTAAACTATTTTACATTCCTCTTATGGTGGTACTGCAAGGTTGTCTTAAAAATTATTTAGATAACAGCTTTAGATACCGGAGGACACATATAGTCTCACTACTACATTGGTAAAATAAAACTGGTGTAATGCTGTGGTTACACAAAACTAAGCCTGATAGACACATACGTACTGTGCTTATAATGTGGCGGTAGTTAATGGAAAAACATTTGCTTTTTATATTTGTTTTCACAAAACTTACAACATTATATTTACTTATTTATTTATTAATACAATACTCAGCTATAAATTTCGAGATTAACACCGGATTAATAATTAATATACAATAACTAATATGGTAATTAATATATAAATTTCGGCTTACAATTAATTAATTAAACTTCCTATAAGTAGGAAGTATCACATTGGACGAGTTGCAAGGATCCTAGAATTTATATTCAGTGTTTAGGTAGAACTAGAAGCAATGCTTAATTAGGACTTACAGGTTAGAATTTCACTTAAGTCTAAATTTAAGAAAATTCTTTTTTCGCTTAATTAATTTCGGTATTATGTTTTACTATTGATTTGCTAATGCGAAATATATGCCCAATTTATTTATTTATTATATGATTACTTTGTTCGCTATATATATAATATTTGTAGTCGAGTATAGAATAAAGTGAAAATCTTCTATGATATACTCAAAGAGATAACACGAATAGTAAATCACGTTTTATTAATAAATTTAACGCTAAATGTAGTAAGTTCGAAAAATATATTGTACAAAAAAAAAAACTTATACCCTAGCAAAAATAACTAAAGGTTTGTCGTAATATGAAACATTAACAAGTTTTGTAGGAATCAACGAACACGTTGAACAAACTGTAGTTGCCATTGTGTTTTTCTCAAAGGATACGAAAATTATTATGGAGATGATAATTATAGTCATTACGACAAACTAATTGGTACATAATGCGGGTATGTTTTGAGAGCTTTAAAGAAAATTTTACTAAGTAACTCTGAGCAACATACAGCGCCTTGTAACAACTTAGCCGTAAATAAAACACATAGATACTCACGACTTTTCTCTAACGTGGAAATATCGATTAGCTTTAATCTGTGTTCGTACAGAGGGTAGATTCGAGCAGAGAGTCCTTATAACTACGCAACGCAAAGAGCAAAAAATTTCTTTGCACCGATTCGATTGTACCACTTATAGCTGAATACACAAATAATAAAGGCATATTCGAACGTTTGCCTAACTAAGGCAATATACAGTTGCTTAGTCGTATAAGGATTACTAAATTTGTTACACCATATCTTGATGAATCCTAGAAGTGATTTAGATTTGGTCACCATTGTTCCAATATATTTTAATTTGGAATCAAAGATAACTCCTAGATCTTTACAGAATGGATAGATATATTATCAGTATGTAATCATTGATATAATAATTCGTGGGTAACGTATCACATTACGAAAAGGACAACTTTTGCAAATTTAGCAGTATGCCATTTCTCACCAAGAGGCTACGTCGTTGAGATTTGACTGCCATAAACTCACGTCTACATTGGAATCTAACAAATAAAATATTTTAACATCATCGGCATACATCAGAATTTTTGCATTACTCGCACATTAACAAATAGCGCCAACGAAAGCGTCCCTAAGTTACCCCCCTTAGGAAATACCGGATGATATAGATATAACCCAAGGAAAAGCTGAGTTTAACAATATTTGGGCGTAAATTACATCAGCTTGTTTGCGTATTGAGAGAGCAAAAAATCATTTCCAATGAGTTCGTGAAAGTTGACTGTCCACTAGAGAAGCAATGTTGGCAGTTAGATAACATATTTCGCATTACCAGAGACAGACTCTTAACTATTAATAATTCAAACAATTTAGCCAGAACGCTAGATCTTGCAGTTCCCCTATGTATCTAGCTATTGCAAATGAATTCAGCACAATGAGCGAAGAGCCGAAACTAGTGTACAATCTGTTCCAGTTGTAAAAGGGAGTTTTAAGGCTAAGAAACAAGATAGAACTTTTTCTTTCGAAAACATAATTCAAGGCAAGATGTCGACTGGCTCAACCACTTACGAATAATTACCCGATCTTTCGAAAAACTCAGCAGACAGCTTACTTATTTCAGGGCTTGGAAATCGTCATAATACATAAAGGGCGGATAACTCTTAATTCTACGATTTGAGCTAACCAAATTATAAAATAAGCATTGTTAAGCAGTCGCCATTTCGTATTTCGGATGTAACTGAGAAACATTTATCATTTAAAAAATTAAAATCGTATCTTGTCCTAGAATTAGGAAAGAAATCAACTGCTGATCCACTAAGGTGATATATTTTAACCAGCCTACTCTTTTTGTTCCTTATCATACCTAGGCGACCGTTGAACCAAAGAGGACAATTTAGGCATAGATAATGAGATAGCATAGAAAAGCTCTAGTGGACGTCCTCAGGAAATACAAAAGGATCCGCTAGAATTACTTTAGGAATAGCCTTATTGGAGACTATTTGACTACCCAATTTACCTGCAAAAGACACAAGCTACAGATGTGATCGAAAAATCCAGAGAATATATGCATTTAAGAGAGGAATAGAACAACAATCTTATCGTACGTCTTCAAACGACTGACAACCCGTTGAATCAATTTCAGATGCGTCATATAAACCGAAATGTCAGATTGGAGATGAATATATACAAGTGCAATATACGTATAAGCTGTAGCGTATACCTTGTAAGTTAACGCAAATAAATTCAGCCTCAGCAGCAACGCCTCTCCCTACCTGATATTTCCCATCATATCTATATACCCGATAATCGGAGCACAATATTTCAATATTATATACACATGGCTTTAGCCATATTTCATTGAATACCACAACGTCTTACAAAGGTTCGTAAGAATTTATAGGAGGCACAGCGTCTTGAGATCCTGAACGTTTTGATACATAAATGACAAGACGGTATTTTGTTTTTTGATTTACCAGAGATAAATCGTTTAGCATATATTTGACGGGGTACGTATTCTGACGTGTAAAGGCCAAAATCCTTTACTCATCAACTGGATGAACCATTCCGATGGAACAGAAATTCTCAACGATGATATGTCTCAATATTCAAACCCATTGAGTTCGATTAGACTTATGCTAGATAGGTTAATATCAGGCAATTTACGTTGAACATAACTCCTAACGTTATTCACACTAGTAGCAAACGCGACACAAAAATAGCCTTCCGTGCAGAAATCACAGTTAACTTCTCAATACACTGCATAGCTGTGCTATTGAACTGCAATGCTAACTCGCTATATTTAGCTTCCTTCAAATTACCACCACTAACATGGTCCGTGCCAGGGTTCTGACAATTATCCAAAAATTCTCACCTCTGTCATTAGCAATACCGGCTTGCAGAAGCAGCTACAGAAGCAGCGCCTGTAAACCAGTCTGATTTTTTGGAAGTGCTTTTACTGAAAGAT